CCGCTTTGTCCGGTCTTCTGCTGATGTGCTTACGGCCATAACTGAATATATATATCAAGCTCTTCATAATAATGGCGAAGCTGTTGTTGTAGATATAGCGAAGGCCTTTGACAAGGCATGCTGGTCTTCTATGTAGGCTTCAGGGGTATGGTATTACAGGCTGATTATTTGATTTTATCCAATCATTCCTGTCTGACCGCGAAATGAAGGTTGTCCTGAACGGGTTCTCTTCTAGTTTCTTCTCTACGAACGCTGGTGTTCCTCAAGACTCTCTCCTTGATCTTACACTGTTTTTGATCATCGGTTCTCAAGTAGGCATCTACACAGACGAAACCCATTTACCCCTGTCTCAATAGTAAATCCGCCATTGCTAAAAAGTGAACCTGGCTGTTGACCTCAAAAACGACCTCCAATCTGTGGTTGGCTGGGACTGGAAATGGCTTGTGGATTTTAATACTTACAAAATGAAACTGCTGTGATTTACTCACCATAGAGAAACTTTTCTGCCTCCTATCAGCATCCACGAGAGCACCTCACTGTGCCTACTTGGTCTCACGTTCTCCACTGACCTGAACAACTACATTGAATCAATAGCTTCATCTACCGCAAGGAAAGTTGGTTCTCTATGTCGCGCCAGAAGGTTTTCTCGTCTGAACCCATCCCACACATCTACAAATCTACCATTCATCTTTACATTGAATACTGTTTCCATATATGGTCTGGTGCCCCCGCTGTTCATCTCGAGGTTCTCGACAAAATCCAAAGACGGATATGCAATGTGATAGGTCCTGATCTGGCATCTCGATTCCAGTCACTTTCTCACAGACGTGATGTGGCTTTCTCTGTCTTTTCTACAAATATTTTCATGGTAATCTGCTCTGACGAGCTATTTTCACTGGTGCCCCAACTGCATGAATTTAAGAATGCTACTACTAATTTGGAATCTCGGTCCACCCATTTACTGTCGAAACAGTTAAATGTAACCGCCTCTTCTACCCCAACAACTTCTTTTCTCGCACTTCCCGACAGTGGAACTCCCTTCCTCTTATTTACTTCCCTGATAACTATAATCTTCAAAAATTTAAGTGTAATGTCAATCGACATCTTCTGATGCCTTGATTCCCGTTCTTCTTTTTATCCTTTCTTCAACCACCCCCACTTATACGTAGTTTTTTCCCCCTTATTTACACTCTCTGTAGCCCCTTAAGGGTGAGCCCAAAATGCGATTTTGCAGGTCGGGGACACTAAAATGAAACATATGCGGAAGCTTAAGTATTTGAAGGACGGTAGGTGCGACGCTGAGATCCGAAGCCGGATGGGGGGGGGGGCAAGGGATGCAGTCCAGAAGCTGGGCAGAGTAGTGCGAAACAGGGAGGAGGGGGATTTCTAGGGAGACAAAGAAGAAGAGTACCGAGCTGCTATGTGACATCTGTCCCTCCTATACGGCAGCGAATGTTGGACGGTATCCGCAGGGATGAAGAAGAGACTCGAGGCGGCGGAGATGAGGTTCTACAGAAGGATGCTGAAGATATCATGGACGGAGCATGTGAGCAACGATGAGGTCTTGGAGAGGATGCAAACAAGGAGGAAGGAAGAGGCAGATGAAATTTCCGGGACACGTGATGAGAAAGGAGGGCCTGGAGAATCTGATACTCACGGGACGAGTAGAGGGGGAGATACAGGGGGGAAGCAGCGCATGACATACGTGGCAGGCTTGGGCAGGTGGATGTCAGAGCATGGTCTGGGGGAGTTGGCAGAAACACAAAACCTGTTAAAGAGCCACAAGGGATCGGGGGAAGTGGAGGGCCATGTATATATATATATATCGTTTTGAAAGAGTATCATCCGAACATCTGAAAAAAGTAAGTAAAAAATTGTTATCATGCTAATCTTGCTATTTTAAAATCTTGTGGTTAAGTTGAAAACTTTTTGAAAATTTAGCAGCCATGATTTTTTCAATTTTTCTAATAAAATCCGTTTTCCATACAACTGCTAAGAATCAAACGACAAGTGTTTACATTCTGATATTCCTTTTCCGTACATTTATTTGGAACCGATTCTCGTAGCTTCTGATCATTTCTTTCTCCTATTTCAGCTGATTGACTACACAAGGATCAAAGAGAGAAGAAAAGTTTAAAAAGAAAACTTATGTTCACATTAAGATCATTTAAAATTAAAAAAAAAAAAGAATTCTTTTTAGAGCGTGCTTTAGTGCTTAGCCGGTGTTGTTTTTATTGAGTAAACTTAACTGAGATTCGTATAAGATGTCAATTCAAACTCAAAGTTGTCCTCCTAGACCCAAGAACAACCCAAGACCCTAGAAAACAAAAGTGGAGAGTGGGGGAAAAGAAAGGATTATGCCTTTTCCAAAGCTTTCTTGCAAAAATAAATGAACCTTGTTTATTTGACTTTATGTGGAATAATGAAAATATTTAATCTCAAAACTTCAGAAACAACGGGAAGGTCGAAGAAGATATCGACAGAAACGTCATAAGAATTA